AAAATGACTAATTACAGTAATGTCTGGTGTTTGTGTTAGACTGTAATCCTACAGCAGGATAGCTCAATGCCAATACCTCAGAATCTTTTGATGATATTATGCACTGTAGGTGCATAGTATCACATTCAAAGGTTTTGAAAAGTTATTATGAGAAATATGTTTCTGAAATTGTTCCGGGCCTGAAATTTTTCCGGGTCGTAACAATCTACAAAATACAATGCAACAAGGGAAATAGTTGTCATGCGGTGTGTTAGGACTGAGGCACAGAGCAGAGTTCAGGGGAAAACAACGTTTATTTACACAGTCACCAGGTGCAGCTATAGTGAGGTGAGATATAGTGAGGGGAGCGGGGGTCCTGGGTCCGAAAGGGAAGTCCGGGATAGGAGTCACATACACGCTAGCTCTTCTTCTTTACAACGGTTCAAACAACAGGTTGGTCACGGGTCCGGGGAAAGTGTCTAGCACAATCATCCAGCGGTGAGGCTGTCTGCGTCCCTTCCTTAAGAGTCCAACACATAATTAGAACCTGACAAGATGCAGGTGTGTGTGCCAAGGGCGGGAGCCTGCAGTGAGCTCCGCCCTGGCAGGGAGGAGAGAGGGGAATGTACACAAAGCATATGTGGCCTTGTGGAGCCGGCCGGGCAGACACGGGGACCATGACAATAGTGCTCCAGGAAGGAAGGTCATTCACATATCCACAGCAGAGCAAAAGGCTGAAAAGTAAGGTGGCCTTCTTCCACACGTCCCTGATGGGTCTGTCTAGCACAGGCCCACCGCTGGAATGAGACAATTTAAGTACACAGCAAAAGCATTGAACACCAAGTATTCAAAGTTCTTTGTATTACTCATGCACGAGGGAGACCAAGAGCCACTGAAGCCAGATGTCGTTCCGCCCACTTGACCTCTGTCGGACTCTTAGCCTGGTTCCCTATAGCACTCCTTTTATTGTGGTTATATGAATATGCATAGGTTCATTAACATATGACGTTTCATATAGATATACATGTGGACAAAGAATACCTTGTCTGTGTGTCGTGTAGGTGTAGGTGTAGGTGTGTGTGTGTGTGTGTGTGTGTGTGTGTGTATACATGACTTCCTTGTTACAACCGTTTATCAACATCTCTAGACATAAAAGGGTCATCTGCCCTCACCCCGTATATGGCTTAACCCTTTTAATGGTCCACCATATACAAGCACTGGTGAGCCCATTAAGGGCAGGAAGTGAATATTCCTTACCAAATAAGGAAACCAGAATCTTACTTTCAATTTAAGACAAGGTTTGACAACAATGACAACTTTTAACACAATCACTCCAACATCAATGTTAAGGTTTCCATTCCCTTCAATGCACCACCACAGTCCAGAAATGTAAAACAGTTATCCTTTGTGTCTTCCCTGGTGAACTTTATGTTTTTATCCACAGCATTGATATGAGCAGTGAACTACTTCTTGGGTTTTGATTTTGACCCAGGTGTCGTCCACATATCTGTACCAATGGCTAGGTACTCTCCCTTTAAATGTTGAGGTTACCCCAAGGAGCTCAGAAGTTACGCAGCCATTCTGCCTTGCTGCCAACCGGAAGTACAGATTGATTATTTTTTTACTTTTAGTAAAGACCTCCACAGAGTGAAGGATTGTATAATAGGACAGATTTAGCTGATCATTCGGGACTGTGAAGACTGGGTTTAAAACTAGCCCCAAAAACACCTTATGGAGGCTTAATATAGGTCAATGACTCGTTTAAAAGAGAAATGGCACAGAAGTTAAAAACATATTTAGAACTCAATGACAATGGAACAGTTAATCCTACAATTTTATGGGATGCGGCTAAAGCATACCTTAGGGGTAAAATTATTGCAAAATGTGCAATCCTAAAGAAGGTGAGAGCAAAAAAGCTATCAGATTTGCAGGAAAATTTGAAAAAAAAAATGGAACAACTGCACACTGTTACAAGGTGCCCCCGGGTATTGGAACAGATGAGGCCGGTTAAGTAGGAGGTCCACAAAATTTTAAGTGAGGAAATTGAAAAATAAATAAATAAAATATAATAGACAACGGTGTTATGAGGCAGGACCCAAAGCTGCTAGACTATTATCTTGGAGACTCAGGAGGCAACAACAGGAGAACACTATTCACAAAGTTCGAGATTTAAAAACAAATAAGATAACCAATAAACTCAAAGAAATTCAGAGAGCATTTGAAGAACATTACGCTGAGCTCTACAGACAACCAGATGTGCATAGGATTCAGAATTTCTTATCCAGCACCAGAGTTTGAGTGATAAAGATAAATATCCTCGCAAAACTGTTATATTTGTTTGCAGCACTTCCAGTGGATATTCCAGCAAAACAATTTAGGGAGTGGGATATGCATTGCTCAAGATTCATATGTGGCAATAAAAGGCAGAGAGTGAGATCTGCAACATTGCAGCTGCCTGGTAAGCGGGGGGGCATGGTCCTACCATGCTTTGAGAATTATTACCTGGCAGCCCAGATCAGACCTCTATTGTGCTGGTATAACTCTAATGAGTTCTGTATGAGGCAAAATAGAAGGACATTGAGCTTTCTTTGATGGATTTTTCAATACAGTCTGTTCTGGAGCTTCCTTGAGAGTTTGCCACAGGCATATCGGATGTGTAAGTTTTTCCCTGAAAAACATGGGCAGATATGATTAAAAACTTTTGCCTTAATAGGGAAATAGGGTTGCTGGGTTGGCCAGCATATCTCCCGCGCTTCCTTCCAGCACTGTTGGACATAAATTCAGGGAGTGGTCCAGGCATGGAATCACTGCAATCTGTAAGATAGTTAAGCATGGGGAGCTGATCAATTTTGAGGACATGTATCGGATTTATGAGATTGGCAAGGAAGATTTTTTATCGTTACCTACAGGTTCTGACCTTCTTCCAGAGGGAAATTAGAATGCCTGATGCAGATGCCAGAGGGGTGATCCAAATATTTATGGATGCTTATGGGGAGAGCATTATAAGAGGTACTATAGGCAAAGTGTACAAAAGTTTTATATCTATGAAAAAGATCTTAACAAGATATGTCAGTCATCGATGGGAAAAAGAAGCAGGTATAACTATTTCAGAGGCAGATTGGTCGCAGATGTGGAGGAATGTATTATCTACCACAAATTCTTTAACATGGTGAGATTTTGGATGGAAGAATTTAATCAGATTCTTCATCACACCAAAGCAGAAATCCAAAATAAGTGGTTCAGGTGCTTTGTGCTGGAGGGAGTGCAGGGAGGTCGCTGTGGGTTGCTTCCATGTCTTCTGGTCATGCCCTAAACTGAAGACTTTTTTGGAGGAGATGAAACAAATGGTGGTGGATGTGTTTGGAGTAACACTGGACTTCTTTAGTACCATGTACCTTGGGAAAATTCCTGACGATATAAATAAAAGAGGCTCATACTTACTGAAAATAATTATGGTTGCATGCAAAAAGGCAATTTCTAAATGTTGGTTGCAGACAAGCCCCCCCACATGGAAGCTGGTCATAGACATTATTAACATAATCCATCATATGGAATTGATTACCTTCTCACTGCGGCTGCAGAAGGAGAAAGGAGAGAGACTTTGGGAAAGATGGGATAGTTAAAAGACTAGAAAGTGATACCTGTGTGATGCAGAGGACTGGCCGCGATTGTGTTTGAATGGAACATACACCTGTGTAATGTAATATGTGTAAGTAAAACAAGGCGATGTGTAGTTTGGAATATGTGAACATATGTGAATGTGTTAGTTTCCCTTGCCCTCTTTAGTTCTGTATGTAAAATGAGATGAAAATCAATAAAGTTTTTTTTTAAAGTATTGTGAAATTAAAATATATACCATTCAGTTTCTGAAGCCAAAATTTCACAGTAATGATTATACAAGTTTAAACGTAAGACCATATTTTTTATGCAAATTTGCTGATTTTTTTGATTGAGCTGCTGGACTGACTCATTAGTTAAAGCAGAGCTTCCCAAAGTGTGGGGCCTGCGCCATTGCAGGCGGGGCGCGGTATGAAAAGGGAAAACAAAAAAAAGAATGCTTGGACACTGCTAGCATAATGGACTGGTTGTTTGACGGGGCACCCACACAAGCGCAAAGCAGGAGATGAAGCATTGCCAAATATGTTTCCAAACCAACTTAATTCCAAGCTAAATACTAGAAAATATAGTGAAGCATATCTTCCCTTTGCCTTCACTTGCACAAGTGCCAAGGTAGGTCTCCCCTGCATGAATTGGTTTTCCCTTCGTCGGGAGCACGCACTGGGCTCTCCAAATCGCGGACAAACAGTATCCCACATTCTTGATTTTTAGTTCACAAACACTTGTTGTAATGACTAACTACTCCTGACAGTTTAGAGATGTTAGCTCTTTATACAGTAAAGTTACAGCGGGATACAAATAACATCAGGCTGATCCTACTGTAATTTGTTCCCCCTGTCCAAATCACGGAAAAACAGTATCCCACATGTTTTTGAACCCATTTTGCACAGAGAGGCATATTATTACACAGGGGGAAAAAAACAACTACACGTAAAATAATTACACCATGATGCCTCTGCCTTTCTAAATGGAGGGACAGTAACTGCGTGTGTATATGTAAGCACTGGTGCTCCACAGGGGTGGAGCGCTTACCGCGTTGCAGACGACACAACAGTGGTGGGTCTTATCACCAAAGGTGATGAGACGGCTTACAGGAAGGTCAGCACCCTGACCCACTGGTGTCAAGAGAACCATCTTACCTTCAAAATCCAATAGTCCAATCCAATCCAATTTCCGGAGGGGTAAAGAAGTACATCACCATCAACGGTGCTGTCATGGAGAGAGTGAGCAGCTTCTGTTTCCTAAGTGTACATCTGGCGGAGGATATTACATGGTCAGTACACACAAAACAAAACAGGACACTTTTTCCTCAGGAGACTAAAGAGACTCGGCATGAGCCCCCACATCTTCAGGACCTTCTAACACTGTGCCATTGAGAGCATCCTCACTGGATGCATCACCACATGGTATGGCAATAGCACCACTTACAACCGCAAAGCTTTCCAGAGAGTGGTGCAGTGTTCTGATCAGATAATTGGAGGTGAGCTTCCCTCCCTCCAAGACATCTACAAGAAGCGGTGCATGAGGAAAGCGGGGAGGATCATCAAAGACTCCAGTCACCCCAGCCATAAACTGTTCAAACTACTTCCGTCAGGCAGGAGGTACTGCAGTATCTGGTCCCGAACCAGTAGACTGAGGGACAGTTTTTCCATCAGGCCATCAGAATGCTGAACAGTGACACTTTATAGACACCTCACTCTCACCTACCGGAACTCCAGCACTATTCTGTCAGGAAGTGCTGTGTGGCAGGCAGGAGATGAGGACTCAAAATGCAGGACTCTCAGACTCGAGGGATGAACTCAAAACCACAGCTTTATTTGCTGGTCACAGGAAAACGAGCATACAAAGCAAACTAAACTAGGAAATGACAACCTAAACTCACAGGAAACACAGGGAGATCCACACAGCATGAGGGACAACACGACACTGACTCAGAGAAACACAGGGTTTAAATACAATGGGAAGTAACGAGGGGAATGAGACGCAGAAGGAGGGCACAGCTGGGATAAATCAGAACTGACGAGACAAGGAAACAAAGCAGGACACATTCACATAAGACACAGACCTTCAAAGTAAAACAGTATATGACAGAGACGCGAACTTGACACAGTCAGGTCCGCGTCAGGTGTTGAGGAACCAGGGCACCCTGACGAGAAGTGGGCTACTGGAACAAGAAGGCATCGGTGG